AGCAAATATAGACTATGTTCATAGCAAAAAAAGAGATAGGAATAAACAGGAAAAACGTAAGACAGGCCTTTTTAAACCTCACTCCACAGATATGGCACCTACTTTACCATATATTTAGGGGGAAAAAATTCACAGTTCACTCCCTAGTTTAATAATTTAAATATTTTTGCTAGCATTTTATTAGTCTGCACAACGGCACCTTTGTTTTTGTTCCTTCAAAATGAACCATTGGTTTTATTTTAAAAGATGGATAATAGTCTTGCAGTATTACTACTTCCGTTGCTCCCTGTACTTCTTATGCAGTTGAAGTGACAACATAGGGACTGGCTACAAACCCCTAGAGGCAACTACGGGTATAACAACAAGCTCAGTGCCTTAACACCCTTGTCAGAATATTCTTAATGTGTATTACTAATATTTACTGTTTGCATTTAATTTGATTTTTGTCTAGTTCGATGTATTTATTATTTGCTCTTTCTTTCTTCCTAGATGACTTTTTAGCACCAAAATTGCTGCCTTTGTTATTTTCTAAAGTTTTTTTAGGCCACTACATGTAAATTTCCTACATCTTATTTACATTTACTTCTTAAACTAATGCATCCTATATACATTTATATTATTTTGTATATTAAGCCCACATAAACTCCAAGCTCTCAGCTATTAAATGAATCAACTTGTCATGTTAATAAGGGAATACTGTATGCTTCTTTCCACACGTAACATTAAGTGGATGTTGATACATGGATTGCATATGGCATTTGTAAAAAGCTGGACATTTCCTCATAGTCTATTACATACCCTAACATGACATTACAGCTTGATCAGGGACCGTTGTAGCTTTGCACAGTATACATTTCAGTAACAAGCAATCTTCCCAAATGACAGACTTTGAAGTAAAATCATTTTTTAAAATGTTTTAATCAGAACTAGAAGGAATATTTAGGTGAAATGAAGCCCTTTATTTTGATGCTCACTCCAACACATGGAGCCTGCTAAAGGGGAGGAAAATGGCAAAGGCAAAAACACAGCTTCACTCAGTCTGAGAAAATGACATGGGAGTGGCCTCTAACAAGATGTTTATGTACCTATTTAAGTGTTTTCCTACAGTGACAAGTGTACAGGAAACCACTGAGGGAGAAAAACTGACAATGCAGCCAACTGACAAAATCCCGCTAAACGTTTTGCAGTTAGCCTGAATAGGACAATGTGCATTTCTTTGTAACCAGCAGCTTTTATTTTGTAAGGCTTTCAAGCACCTTGTTTTGAGTAGAGCCCAACAGCTCTCACTGTATTAGGTCACAAAAATATAGACATACAGTATCTACAGGTAGATATCTACAGCACATGCATACTGCCACAATTCAATGATTAAATAGATGGCAGAAAGTAGAAAAAAAAGAAATTAAAACCATATGTTTGCAGAGAAATCTAGAATGATTGTAATTTGCATTTAAATGAAACATGACAAAGAATAAGCTTTGCAGAAGGCAAACATTATCAGCAAAACAAATGGGGAACATTCATCCAAAGCACAAGTAAAAAACTAAACCAGCTCATAATTTCCAAAAGTTCAGTTTCCTCAATTAAGCAAAAAAGATGAAAGATAAAATAAATGAGCGGAATTATAAGGCTATTTACAAAAGTGAAGAGGGGATGGGAGGGAGGAGGTGGAGGTGCCATGATTCAAAACAAATTCTTACATTAAATGAGCTACTTTCTGCCCTAAAGAGGAGCTTCTCTTGGGATTTCTCCTGCCACAGTTTATGATCAGTCAACACAGACCCTTAGACGGCAGGGGTATCCAAACACATCACAGTCACACAGGGTGACATCCAATCAGATCCACTCATTAAACAGCACACAATCAAGTTATTTTACCGAGTAGACTACTGTAAAAATAGTCCCTGAGGAATGAAAACTCACCCACACTGGCCACTCATATGTTGTCCACATACATACACAATCATGCACGCACAGTACTTGTGATCAAGTTTTCACAAATCCCACAGAGCTCCGTGTGAAACAACTCGCTCCTTGGGGCTGTTCAAGGATGTCAGGATCGCCACAATGACAAGTTTCTACCTCTACAGTTCTCCCATCAGCTTACCCCATATTCCTAGCTCCCCTCGTCACCCCCCAAATGTTCCTCAGTTTTAGTTCATTTCAAGTCTGAAACAGAGCAGAATGGCCCCAGAGAGATGACAACAGCTCCTTGTTGACACTGATGGGCTATTCACTGCAGGTGTCTCAGTGGCTGCTCGCTCAACCCAAAAACCCATAAAGATCAGAGTAGGGGAAAGTGAAGACATCGCTCAGACTTTTCTGAGGTCTCAGTCAAAGATAAGGGACATCTTGGTCTGCTGAAAAGGTGTGATTTTCTTTTTTCAAGCCAAAATCACTAAGGTTGTGCTGTGTGACATTATGGATTCCAGAGGAGTGCGGTCACCAGGCTAAGACTGGCTATAGGAGTTGCTTTGGTTCCCGTTGGAGCTCTGGTCACTCTCACTGGAGACAGGTCAGAGAGATGGAGAAAATAATGGCATGTAAATTGCAAGGTATCAGGTTTCACAAACATGCAATGCAGTTTTGAGTGTCCCCATAAACAAGCCACTAAAACATTTCATAAATTGTAAAAGTAAACACAACAAAAGCAAAACTATTCATATGCATCTTAAAAATGTGTTGAAAGGCAAGTGCAACATGCGATAATGCAATAGGACCTAGTAGTACACAATGTTTAAAGGAGCAGTGTTATCTCTCTGTCACATGATTAATTTAACTGTCTTGCACATTTTCCTGATCAATCACATTCCACAAAACCCAATCAGATGATCTCACCACTACAAGGTATTTATTCATTATAACACGAAGTAATTACAACTTTATGCTCTTTATGGATCAAATTATTTACTATACTTTACTGTAGATTTTATTTGAATAAGTCAAAACCTGTAAAAAACAAGGTTGAGATACAGAACCAGACCAACCTGTTCGGAGGAGGTTTGGGCTTAGGCATCTTGTTCAGCACCGCAGCTATCTCTTTTCTGTCATCAAAGTTTTTCCACTGGTCATAGAGCTTCAGAATGACACGGATTATCTCCAAGATCTTGATGAAAAATGCACACAGAACAAGTCAAACGGTCGGTTTGCTGCCTTGAAAGTACTTGTTGCAAAGTTGTAATTCTGTAACTTCAAAAGGTAGTAACTGTTTCATTAATACATTGGCCCAGATTATTCTTCATCAAAAAGAATGTAGACAGTCAATGTAATGGAGGTCAGCCTTACTTTGTCCATGTCAACAGAGAGCTCTGCAAACCACTGCCTGGCATCTTTCTGCTGTACCACACAGGCGACATGCAGACAAGCTGTGGGAAGAAAAGACAATAAACGGATCATGTTACATCTAATACAAGCTTACTTTAAGTCAGTAACTGCATTACATAGATGCAACTAGAAATGCACAAGGACAGATCTTACCCAGGGCAATCATAAATGGAGGGTAGAGCAGACACAGATCTGTCCTGTATGTGTCATTCACTATACGCCTGGTGGAGACACATGGCAGCACAATGAGTGAGGCTCCTAAAAACAGCCAAATCTAGTATGGTTTGCATCTAATTATTTCTCACATGACTGGATAATTGTCAGGGTCTGAAATTAACACCCGCCAGGCGCCAAATGTGAGTAGATTTTTCCATTTGGCGAGTAAATCTCAGAGGACTATCCTCCACACTGGTGGATAAATGTTTGTAGCAAAATAGTCAGGTAATAAAATAAAAGCCTATCCTGACAGTCTCTACTGTGGGCACCCTGCTTCTACTATGTCGAAGTTTGAGAGACACACACACACACACACACCCACACACCCAGGTCAATAGTTGTGTCTTCTGTGAAGACCTGCTCCTACTCTGCCTCTGATTGGCTTTCAGAACCAAGCATAATAATACACTGTAGGTTGCGGTTACACACGAAAAGCGCAAGTGATACCTCTGCAGAAAAATGGGCAGTGTAGTCAGCTGGACTGATTAAAATAGGAGAGTATCGGTTACACGTGTGTCTTGCGAACAGGGCTGAAATGCTTTTGGTGTAGAACAGTGTGACACTTGTTGTCCAAGTCTTTCTGACCAATCATCTGATCATAACCATAGGTCATTAAGAGGCAGAGTAGCGGCAAGTCCCTGCGGTACATGGGCCACACTCTGACAGACACGAAACCAGTCTTCATGGACGGTGCAAAGAACTGGGTGAAATATTGCTTTAGAATTTGCTCTGAACTCTGCACATTTGTATTCAACAAGATACGTTATTATTTCAGTGATATTCTGAAGAAAATGGCCAGTGAGTCCAAATTTCAGACCCTGATAACTATGCATCACAAAATAGACAAATGTTTCTTTTGAGACAGTATCCTACCAGGCCAGAGGAAGCAGCATGTCTTCCTGTCCCATATCCTGCACATACTGTAAGAGGGGTCTGTAGGGGTGGTACACAATCAGGCAGCAGTCCTGAAACATAAGTTACATTAATGATAAGTCATCTGGTCAATCAAGCCAATCACAGCAAGTAGCAATAATACAAAGCTTTCTATGTACTCACCATCAACTCCAGAAGGTAGAACTCACATTCTAATATCTGTAAGGACACAAATTAAAATTGTATTAAACACATCAGAGCAGTTAAAGTGAACCACTACTGCTTCTAGTGCTGGATAAATTAAATGCTGGTGATGCACTGCACTTGACAACCAAACGAGAGATGCTGCACAGATGAAATCAGAGTCCCCGTGCAGGTGGGTAGCCTTGGTCAAAGCCATCTCCTCCAAAAACAGAGCTTTTATCATAGAAGCGTAGACATAAATTAAGGGATCTCACAGACACTAAGGTGGCAACTAGAGATTTATGTTCAGTTTTGTTTTGGCTTGCAGGGTAATCACTTCACTTGCATTTATAATAGTGTTGCATTTACAGTTTGGGAAGCACTAAGTTACTGTAAGTTGTTCTGGATAACAGTGACCACAGGCCTAAAATGTAATTGTTACAAAGAGGTTTTACTTACATGATTCATTCTGTAAGGGAACTCTTTTGGAAAGGCATAAGAAAATCGTGTTTTTACTGTTGGGAAGGAAAAAAAAAACACTCATTTGTCTCAGTTGCATGGGAAAAGGCAGATTGACAGATATGAACTTTAACTCTGGCGCCTATCTCATAAGTTTAGGAAATATATTAACTGAATGTTGCCACTTACACACAGATGTTGCTGCAGAGATCAGCCGGGTATTAGATACAACTCCAAATTCCTGAAAGGGACATAAATGTGTAGCTAAATACAGCAAAACTGACGGCAAAGTGAATGCTGACCACAGACTAGTATTATACTCATCCCATCATTTCCCATGGCCTCAGATGCTCAAAACATCCTAATGTAAATTTTACTGTACTGGCACTCAGAAATGTACATACCTCAACTTTGGAAGCCAGGAAAACACAAGTAGGAGCCATGAGCACTGGGTCTATACTTTTTAAGGAATATCTGCACAAGAAGAGATAAACATTTATTAACTTCAATGCAGGATCTTATGACTAAGACTTAGATTTAAATTAGGAAGTGAAAAGAAAATTTTTACTATACTTCAAGAGCTCTTATAACATTAAATTAAGGGTAGAGACCAAAGCGTTCAGCTGCTCAAGACTCTAGCTATTTTAATAATGTTATATTGTTTGGGGCAATGTAGTGTTAATCAAAACTACAATATGCACATCATTAATAATCTGCCTTTTTCACAGCAGACAAAAGTAACAGCAGGAAAAGCATCGGTACGATTAATACTGTTTACAATGGCCCTGTTCCATTCTACTGTGCCATCAAACCTACACAGGAAAGCTAAATAGTGGGCAGCGCTTATTAATATTTTTCATTATGCCTGTTGTTTTTCTGGTATTCCATGTTAGTGGTATGCTGTTAAAAAGTCCCGTGGCACTAGGAAAAACAAACTGAAACACCAATTATTATGAGATCTAAATACAAAATTGCTATATCTAAGCTCTACCTCTTTTTTACCTGGCATAGAAGCGTTTGAAGTAGACGGTTGCAGTAGCAATGACCTGTTGCCGCAGCTTCAAGTGCTCCCCCAAAGCCTGGATCACTGATAGAGAAAAAATGTTTAAGTTCTTCTGGTTTTGTTGGGTTTCAGAGAAGCACAGAATATGACTCTTACTACACTACGCTAAACAATTTTTAACACTATATTTGTACATATGGTGCAGAGTTATTAAATGTAGAAAATGTATTTAACTGAAGCCTGATTTCAGGTCATAAAGTAATGTAATACAAATATAATGTAAATACCATTAGCAAAGAAGATCTGCAGCTTCCAGTACTCCTCTTCCGTAAGAAACTTCAGGTCCTTCTGTCGCTCTTTCATCAAGTCTTGTTTATCCAGGACCCACTGGAGGCTTTAAAAGATCCAACAGATATCAGTATTTAGATGCAATTACACTTTAAGTTATGCTGGCTTGGCAGGTTGTAAACAACCTAGCTAGCACAAAAATATTCCTAGTTACACCGCCTTACAAGTCAAATATGTTGTCGCGATGCATGGAAACTATGAAAGGAGCGAGTCTAATAAAACTTAAATACATTTATCTCTAAATGAATTTCATTCTGTATGTATTTCAACATTTATTTTTTACAGCAACAACAGTCCAGGAGATATTGCTAGCGTACGATGCGGCACAGACACAGCTAGGCCTCACAATAAAGACGGCAATCTACAAAATAAAAGCGTAACATGTCAAACCTTTAGTAAAAACTTACTAATGAGAGCTTTGCCAAAAGTTTCCTGCCATGTCGTGACAGTTGAGGTAGACAAATACACTTAAAACTAATATTTCTTTTCTACAAAGAAGTGAATACCACAGGCAAAATAGTTGTGCTAAGCAGACACTGGAGCAACATTAAATGTCTTCCGGAAATGACAAAAAACCTCCGTTATATGGTTCCAGAAAGTCTGTTCCGGCCTTTAAAACTTCACAATAAGTATTATTTGTACTGTTTAACTTTTTTCTTACAGGGAGCTCTGCAAACCACTGCCTTAAATTTGAAATACACGTTATAGTCATTTTAATAGGCAAAAAAAAAAAAAATCAAAGGTGCAAAATGGATAAATGGGGGATAAATATCAGTAAGCGGGTAGACTGACAAATTGACGTGGAGCTATAAAATTAACCTAATGCAACATTATGAATTAATGTACATTAGTAGACTGAATCACTTTACAGTATGTAAGTTAGTCTACCATTAAATTTCACAATTTTAAAATTGAAATTCTTCCAACCGTATATTTATCAGTACAGTATGAAAAGCTCATAAGAGGTTTACGGTGGAAGCTGTGACTAGCTTTTGATGCAGAATAGCAGAGCAAATCATACTTGGCAGCATAAAAATGCTTCTATATAATGTATCAGATGAAATACTATATTGTTTCCTTATGCTTCTAAAATAATGTTTTATATTTTTGAGTTATATTGTCAAAGGAGAGGTGCAAAGGCCATCACTTAATTTTTAAAGAAACTTGATAGTATGATAGTTATGGTTTTCATTTAAATTTAAAGATGTGTACAGTCACTCTGATGCTAAAAACTACACACTTCATTATCTATTTTCTATTCAACTAAACTAAAGCTGCACCAACATACAAGGAAGTCCACGTGACACAACTCCCTCATGTAAACGTTTGATTTCACCGTTTGAAAAAGCTGAGAAATGACCATAATTGTTCAAAAACACTTTGTTAGTAGGAAGTTACATTATAATCAAGAGTGAATCAAAACATATGTTGTGTTTTAATTATTATATAGTGTATACACAGTATAGTTGGTTATTCATATTACATAGAAACCGATAATTTACATGCCTTTTCAGGTACAATAACAAACCATAAATCCCTTCATTGTTTTTCCCATGTGTCAGATACAAGTTATGGTCACTTAACCAAAAACAAGCAGCTTTGTTAAATTACTGCATTATGTGAATGTGTTTCTAGTGCAGCGATTTGGGTTCATCTCCCACTCCTCCTGCAAGGCGATATACTGTGAGGCTGACTTCATGTGCGAGGGCGTCGGCACTCTCCTAAAAGACAATATGGAGAGCATCAGCATTACTTACAATGCAGTCTCATTCAGAGGCTTTTTGCACTGTGACACCTAGACCTAAAGAGAGATGGAGAAATGTCTACAGATTTCTCACCTGTGTTTCTGCCTCGGCGTAAACTCTTACCACATCTTCGGTCCCAGAGGGTCTCACGAAGGAGCGGGCCTGTCTATACTTCTTCACTAAACTATCGATGGTCTCCTGCATTCCTGGTGGACTCACTGCTCGTCTCTCTGCATCAGTCGTGTCTATCACCCTACGGTCTGACACCTACAGGGCAATTCAGTACAAAACAGGAAGCAAAATCAATTTAAAATAACTCACACAAGTTCATGCTCTCATGAAGTCTTTTAAAGTGTCCTGTTGCAAGACACCACCAGCTCTATCGACATGAAGTACTCTTTACTGACTTTAAAGGCCTAGACATGCTGTTAGTCAAAATCAGACAAAAAAGGTGTGATTTCTTGCTCATGATCATTTCAAGTCAAGTGAAACTAATTTTAATCAAATACATCATTAAAAAAACCTTTGATATCCTAAAACAGTTCTTCAGGACACAAACTGCTGATACCAGGAGAAAGCCAAGGCCTACTCGTATATCTAGGCACAATTCTATAAAGTACAAGAGGGGAAAATCAAATATATCCAGCAATAAAGTAATTTTTAAAAACATTTTCTATAAAATTCAAAGACATTCAAGGCCTGTCAGAACAATGTGGTACTGCATGCAGAGGGGAAGAGAAAAATAATATCCCTACATGGTGAACCATCAGAAATATAGTATGTAGTGTACTTTGCATTATAATATGCTGATTTATGCGTACCCTGACTTTGAGCTGCCTGTTTGGCAGGTCAGCGTAGATGGCATCCCACTGCTGAACAGTCATACCTTTGATGGCTAATATAGCTTCAATCAGCAGCATGTCAGAAATGGCATCACCTATGGTCTTTAGGGGATAAAATAACGCAAATAACATCACCATTAATAATGTTAGGAAAGTGTTTCTTCAACTATTATTCTGTATGAAAATAGTTCCAGTGTTGGTATGACACTGAGTTACATATCTCGGTTCTACCTGGTTGATGACGTTGATAGTGTTCTGCAGCAGGAGGGCTACTCTCTTCTTCCCGTCGCTGATGTTGGGGTTCTCAGCGAGTTGCTGAATCTTCTCTTCAGCTGCCTTACTGAACAGCACCTAAACACATTACATATAGAAAGAGCTTTTATTATGGTGCTAGATAAATGATAGTTGGTGCTTCATACATGTGCATGTGTTTACTCACAGTTCCGTGACCATTGGCCTCGAAGTACACACCGATGTCAAACTCCTGGGCTGCATGGTGAAGGTGCTTCACACCAGTCTTAGTGCACCTCACTATTACCTAAGTGACATCAAAATGTGTGAGCACTAACTCTGTTAATGTGGAAATAAAGGAACGTGCTTTGTTTTCTCTCACCTTCATCGTGTCCTCCAGATAGTGTGTTGAGCTGCCGTTAGCATAAGCGGTTTGTACCACCGCTATCTTCAAGTCTAAGCCAGCCTGTATATCCACAGCAAAAACAATTCAGGAAGTGTTCTATGTGCATATTTATTTATTGTTTACATGTCTGGATATGAGAGTGTACCTGTATGAGCAGCTCTTTAAGGAAAGTGCTGATAAGAGTAGCAATCTTGTCTCCATCCAGCAGGTGAAACTGGCCTTCAGAGTCAGTGTAGTAATAAACTATTCGGTCAGCGTCTCCGTCAAAGGAACAGCAGCGCTCTCCTGGGTTTATTTTAACACCTTCACAAAGTGAGGAGATGGCGAATCAAAAACAGGATCTCAACAATTAGCCTAGCAGTTCTCTAACATAAGTCATAATAAGAGAGATCCAGAAACTGACTGTGGTAGCTTGTCTTGTTGGATCATTGTATATCAGTCTAGTGGCCGAGATCAGCAAAATGCTCAAATTTTATGTCAGATATCACTTAGAGTAAGTAAAAATTATGGTTATGAGTTTGGCAACTAGCAGATTAGTCACATTCTAGTGGCCAAACATTGCGTCTGTGATTTCACATATATTATATCTGCTGTTTTGTTAACAGTCTTATAAAGCTGCTGTGCTTAGAAATGTCCCTCAACTTCATATTCTTTTGCTGCTGCTTGTTAAAAACTTGCTTGGGGTTGAAAGACACTTTCAAATCATGTGTACATTAAAAACTATGTTTCAGTTGCACCTGTTGGAGGTTTTTGCTGCACTTTGACAAAGTCAGCCCCACACTGGTGATTTAGCTTTCCTTCGGTGCCATCATTGAAGAGGGAAATTTTCAGCTCCCTCTTCAAGTGTCTCTCCATCTCACGCACCTTCAGGGCCCCGATGCCATTAGCACCATCCACGGAGAGGTGCTTCTGGTCATCTGTACGGTTGGATGCCTACCAGAGAGCAAGAAAGGAGAAAAACAAAGAATGGATAAATTGCAAACAACATGACTGTACAAGAATGAAGTCACCAGACAACATGTCACATTCTATTTTCTTACATTCTTGGTGAGCTGAATGAAAGCCTGGCAAAGCTTACTATAGTATCCTTCCAGTGTGGCATCTCCATATTTACCCTGTGTGTTCTGACAGCAAACCATATAGTGGAGCTGTGGCGTGGTCACCAAACCATAGTCTGACAGGATAGATGAACAGAATCAGAAGGCAAGAAAGGAGTAAGAAGAGAAGATCAAAGCTGAAAAAATATTTTTTAAAACACTAGACAAACAATCAAATACATTTAAATGGGAATATACTAGCTTAATTAACTCTACCTTTGCAGTGACCACCAAGAGCAGATACTCCATCTAATACTGTCTGGGAAAGGCTGGCACTGCTGCTCCTATAGTTGAGAACACGGGTGTTGCTTAGTCTTTTGTTATTCCTTTTTTTATGAAGTGAAATAAATTAATGTAACAGTACAAATTTAAAAACACAGAGGGCATAAAATGTCTAATTAATGTTAGTTTAGCTTTCTGCACTGTTACCTGGATGACACAGGTGTATCTGTGAATTCCAAATAAGATATTATTTAAGATCATATACCTGGTGTCTTTGCCCAAAAACACGTGAGCCTCCTGGCTCACGTTTATGGCCTCCTTATCTATAATGTCCTTCAGTACAGTGAGCAAATCTTGCTGTTCTGCATTGGCCAGCTGAGTGGCGTAACCCTCCCATGTCTGTGTCACCATCTCTCCCATGGGGTCAATCAGCTTCACCCCGTTGTCTTCCTACACCAGTCCAAAAATAAAAACGCAGGATGACACTGAAGACGAATTTTATACTTATGATGCCTTGATAAAACAGCCAAATTAAACTGGTAGGATCACAAGAGATTAGCTAAAAGACATAATTAGCAGAGCAGGAGGTGGAACCTCACAACATTATAGGTAAAATAAACAAAGTTACTACTGGAAAGGTTATGATGAATGCCAAATTGAAAAAAAAAATCTAAAATAGTCCTACAGAAAAAAACAAACAAAGCAATGTTCTGAATCTCTGTCAGACCTCAGGATTGTGTGATGCAGTGATCATGACTCCAATGGTGGCTTTGGTCTTTTTGGAGCGGAGAGTGGCCAGAAGTCCCATCCTGAACATGATGTGGTCCAGCTGTTTGGCGTTTGTCCTGAAGCCAGCAGTGCCATACTGCAAAACCAACCCTGCAGGCTTAGGGTGTCGACTAGATTGGTTTGATACTTCCTCAAAATGGGCCATCACTGAAACACATGACAGAGAAGTGAGTGCTGGAAAAGTATTAAGGTCCTTTACTCAAGTAAAAGTAGCAAAAAAAAAAAAAAAACGCTGTAAAAATTCTTCATAACAAGTAATGTCCTACGATTAAAAAGTACTAAGTACATAAGTATGATCATCTTTAAATGAAAGCACATATTTGCAGCAAAATTAGTTAACTACACCATTATGTTATAGGGTTATAATTACTAACGGAAATACAGGGTGCATTTTGAAGCTGGAGTTGGTTGAAGTTAAACTAAACTGAAATATTTTATATGCTGTCCGGTAGTAACATGCCACCATAAGGGTTAACGTATATATATAAAAAAAAAATTAAAAATCTTAATCTACAAAGTAACTTGTAGCAACAAAAATAAAGCATGAACATATCCTTCCTTTGGGCTAAAACGCTGACTGAAAATAACGCCCAGAAAAATATTTACAGACAATGTCAAAGAACAAGACGAGGGCAAAGTTTGCCGTAGACTATAAGCCCAATAAAATGAATCATGTCAACTGAAAGGCAAACCAACCTATTTATACTCATTTTAACTGGCTTAAACCGTATTAGCACACAGCACAAAGTACCTCTAAAGAACAAACGTAAAGAACAATGCGTTCAAAACAAAGTCAGATTTGTCAGTGAATTAACTTGCTTTTAATTCACTCACCTGAAGGATTAGTAAAGTACCGTAACTTCGGTCAATGAAAAGCTTCCTCCTATGACTGACGACGTGGCTACAGTTCCGGGTACGTCACGTGACGTAAATACGCTCAGCGTGCCTGTCAGTACGCTTTTCTCCATGGATGGTTTATTTTCCCCCACTGTGACTACACTATGTCGAGCTGCATCCTGAGCACGACGACCACCCCAAATGATTTTAAACCCATTTACTTAAGTGTGTTCCTTAAATCTCTCTCTCTCCCTGTCTCTCTCTCTCTTAACACCAGTATAAAAGCATGAAAACGACGTTGGAACATATATAACGCAAGTATAGCATCTGGACACTATTTGTCCATTGTTTGGTAGCATTAAGGGCCAAACAATAACCCGGGTCTAAAAGGGCTTATCTGGTGAGCTTAAATCTAAAACGTGGCATATTTGGGCAATTAGAGGATCTTCCTCTCTCCCAGAAAATGTTTCACCCTCATCATTTGTCAGGATGCTGTGCGTGCAAAGCTGTGTGATGCACAGACTACATGCAGCACTGCATAAGCCACAGTCACGCTCCCACATTAACCCCTTGGCGCATAAAGATTTTCATATTGTGACCCAGGTCGACTCCTCTTTTAAGAGACGTGGGATGCGACGTGTGCCATCCAAACCTGTCCGAACACCTGCTGGGGGAGGAGCGTCCAGATGGACGTAAAGATAAGGCAAATAAATAAACATACGATAGGGGGAAGGAGAATAGGAAATTCCCTTCTGTCTTTAACTCTTCCCGGTATGTGCAGCGCAGTGTTGGCGACACCACCGGGTAGCTGTGCGCATTTTTTCTCGATCTAAGGAGGGGACCACAGCAACATTTCTGACCCGAAGTGGAAAGAAACGCTGCAATCTGCTAAATGAGGGGGACGTTGCGGATTTTTCTTTTATTTTGAAAGCTTTTTTAATGCCCTGACGCAGGAGGAAAGCACCCGATGCCCCCTCCAAACGGGATATTTGACAGATCTATGGAGTGTTGATTTATATTCCGTTATTTTCCTAAAATATCATTTTGAACGAACAGAGGAGCCTCGCTTGCGCAGCATTTTTCATTGGCCTATTTTTTAAATAATTGCTTTAGGTCAAAGGAATAGCTTCCAATACCAGTTGAGTGTTACATAATCGAGTGGCTTTAACTGTCCAAGGTGCTGAAGTGAACGCTCGGAGCCTGTAACGGGACGCGCCGTGTGGAATTCACAACCTTGCGTAAGTCTACTCATGTCACGGCGCATATTATCAACGTGACCGCGCGATCTGGTGCGAAAATAACATTTATCGTGTGATTTGTGCTCATTTTCTATGTTTTTTTCCGCCCACACAGAAGATCACAGGCCTAACAATTGGGGAAGAGGAAAGCACGGGATCCGCTCACTGAAACCACTGGTGAAACCGCTGGGTTTTGTTCATCTTTTTCTTTTTTTACATCGTCCAGTAGTGAGATACGTTCCTGAGGTGGTTCATTCAACGGAGAGAAAATGTCGGGGCAAACGCTCACGGATCGCATTGCCGCTGCGCAATACCAGCTAACGGGATCAGATATGGCCCGGGCTGTCTGCAAAGCCACCACTCATGAAGTGATGGCGCCCAAGAAAAAGCACCTAGACTGTAAGTGCAGTCTTTCTTCCTCTTTCCTACTGTGGCTAGGCTAACAGATCTCATAGATCCGCAAAGACCACATGCCACCACAGTCAGCAGAGCTATGATGGAGCCTAATTATAACCAGTGACTTGTTAATCCCATTTGCTTTAGTGGGTGTGGTGCCACAGTGAATTTGTATAGCCATGGTGGTGACCCCTCTGGTGACCCTTTGTGTCAGTAAAGATGATGGAAACCCACAGAGAGCAGGAGAAAGAGAGTGGAAGAAGGGGAGAGAAAAGGGCATATTTTATGGCAGACATACAAGTCGTCCTTACAGGACCGTTTTCTTTCTCTTATCTTTCCTGCAAAGCCACTTTTCTGAACTTCACATTGAAAGCTCATTGCAAAAGAGGTGATGAAGACTTGCAAGTCAGGATAGTAAAGGAGGTTTACATGTCACGTGCACACATACACATAAATATAGGTTAAAACATATGGTCATAAACTGGAAAATATATATCATTCTCAAAAGGTTATTTATGTTTATGTAGCCTGTCAGTAAGTTTAGGTCGCCATGGGACTATAAAGTCATATGTGAATAAAATTATCAAACCTCACAGTTTTGATTCATCTACAGATGACAGCAGGGGCCACCATATGACAAATCATGATTAATCACTGTCATCTTCTGACTCCGACCAAAGCATTGGCGTGGCACTGAATATAAATGACGCTGGGCAGTCTAGTCTTTTGGATTTACTGTATGTCTGTCTGTGTGGTCACTGGGCAGGAGTGCTCCTCTGGGTTGGGCTAGGACCTTATATCTTGTGATCTGCTCCCCTGCTGAATAATTTAATAATCAGCCAATGACTGCCGTGCATTATTTACACAGCCAAAGGTGACAATGTCAGTGCCAGACTATGGGAGAGACCATTGGTTCCTCTCTTTCTGCTGTGCCCATGTCTTTGTTGTCTGTGTCTATAACATTTGACTGTGTAGCTAGTGAACTGGCAATGGGATAAGTCATTACCTCTTTTTCCAACTAGGCCTTCTGTTGCCATGCTCATACACTGAATGATTCTTAGGTTACTTTATTTCCAAGCTAACAAGCTATACATATGAACACGTTGTCTTCTTCAATGTTTTAGTCTATGAAGTTATTCTGTATCCATTTCTAGGTCAGTTCAACAAGCTCCCAGTATGTAGGCCACTGTGATTCTCCTTTATATGCATCTTGGCAGGAATAAATTCCTAACCTAAAAACACATTTCACTCAAACCTATTAGTCAAAATATGCTCAAATATTAATGATATTTTGTTGTGATACAACCTATTCTGAAAATAGGAATAAATAAGTGCAGTTAAGTAACTGCAGTGTAGGTCAGAGATGGAAGTACTCAGATTTTTTACGTAAAGGTCAAATCAAATCAAATTTTATTTGTATAGCGCCAAATCACAACAAAAGTCATCTCAGGACACTTTACAAAGTAATGTCTAGACCTTACTGTTATCAATATTATTACATAGGGAAAACCCAACAAATCCCCCTTGAGCAAGCACTTGGCGACAGTGGGGAGGAAAAACTCCCTTTAACGGAAGAAACCTCCGACAGACCCTGGCTCTTGGTGGGCGGCCTTCTGCCTCGACCGGTTGGGGTGAGTGGATAGAGGAGAGACAAAAGAAGAAAAGCAACAAGACACAACAATCAAACACTGATCAGGTCGATGTGGCTCGTGACTGCTCGTCAGAGACGTAGAGCTCCAGGGCCAGGGCAAC